CGTGTCCGTTGGCCCCCCCCCCCCAAGCTAGCAATCCAAAACAGTCCAGTCACACCTTTAAGGCCAAGGTTTATTCAGGCCACGTTGTTAGTCGCCCTGAGCCTTCGGGGAGGGCGGGATATAAATCCAAAAATAAATAAATAAATAAATAAATAAATACATACATACATACATACATACATACATACATACAAGCTCTCCCTCCTCTGCTAGGGCAGATCTGCGTGTTTCCCCCACCCCCAGCTAGCAATCCAAAACAGTCCAGTGGAGCCTGAACGGTGGGTGTTGCCTTTTGACACACTTCTGGTGATGTCAGGGGGTGTGACATATGCAAATAAGTTATGCTAATGAGTTATGCTAATGAGCTCCTGCACCTCTTTTTCTACAAAACGACCCCTGGTTACATGTGAGTATCCACCTGCAGCGAGGTGCGTAATACTGTCTAGAAAAGGTGCCAGCTGTCTCCCACAATAGAAACCATACCTGACAAAGGGAGTATTGACTCTTGGAAGGTTATACCATGGAAATCCTGAGGGTCTAAGATGCTACTGGGAGGGAAGGTGGCACGGTATAGCCAGATCTCAGAAGCTAAGCAGGGTCAGTACTTGGAAGGGAGACCACCAGTGTTCCCTCTAAGCTGAGTGAGTGTGAGCTAGCTCACAGTTTTTTAGTCTCCGGCTCACACATTTTTGTCTTCACTCAGGAAGGAGGGCTCCAGAGCGAACTGATCTATGCAGTAGCCAAAGTCTTCACTCACAACTCTAATACCGGTAGCTCACAAAGTGGAATTTGTGCTCACAAGACTCCAGAGCTTAGAGGGAGCACTGGAGACCACCAAGGACAACTCTGCAGAGGAAGGCAATGGCCAACCACCTCTGATTCTTACTTGCCTTGAAAGCCACTCACTGGGGTCGATATTTGGAAGGGAGACCACCAAGCACAACTCTGCAGAGGAAGGCAATGGCCGACCACCTCTGATTCCCACTTGCCTCGACAGCCCCTTGCTGGGG